AACCCTGCCCGCGCCACGGTCCCGGGCTCTTGCCTGTCTCAGCGCCCTTGCCCTGGCCTGTCTGTGTCCCTGTTGGTCTCTGGCTGGCCCCCTCCCCCGCCCCCTCCCGCTCCGCAGGCCCGGGGCCTGGCCTGGGCCTCCTGCGCTCCCGCAGATGGACAAAGGTCCCGCCCTTGGGAGCCAATCGCGAATCACGAGAATCCTGTCCCCGGCTAGCCTGAGGGAAGGGGTGGGAGGAGGGAACCACTTCCTTCCTCCTGCGGGACGGAGTGGGGGCGGATCCACTCCCCTCCCCACCACACACGCCCGGGAAGCTGGGCCTGATGTCCGGCGGCACTCCGTCCTGTTCACTTAGGGGTGGCTCTGCGTGGCTTTGCGTGTCCCCTGCACTGTATCTGCCCGGCAGAGGTTGGAGAGCGGGCAGAATGTCCTAAAGGGATGGCCAACCTTGAAGCCCGCAGGCCACCCCGGAATGGGGGGAGGAGGTCTCTGCGCTAGAGGAACGAGCCTTCCCGCCTGGAGGCTGAGCCCCCTTGCTCGGGCTGACTCCTCCTTACCTTCCAGGCCCAGCTTCACCGTCCCTCTCCTCCGGGGGCTTCCCCAGCACTCTGCTCACGCTTCATTTCTGGCACTGTCCGGGAATCCGTTTCCGTTAGCCTCTGTCTTCCTAAAAAGACCATTTGTCCCAAACCTCAGGGTGGAGGGCCTCTCCTACACATCTCCCTGCTTCTGGTTTAGTTGGGGGGCGGGAGGAGTCTCCATCCTGGGGGCTGTCTTAGTTCCCTATTGCTGCTCTAACAGGTTACCGAAAACCCAGTGGCTTAAAACACAAGTTTGTTATCTTAGGGCTCTGGAGGTCAGTAGTCTAAATGGTCTTAATAGGGCTAAAATCGAGGTGTTGGCAGGGCTTTGTTCCTTCTGGAGGCTCCAGGGGGATCCTTGCCTTTTGGAGCTGACAGAGGCAGCCTGCATTCCTCAGCTGCTGGTGGCTTCCCTCTCACCTCTGCTTTCATCTCCTCTAGAACTGACCCTTCTCCCTCCCTCCTGAAAAGACCCTTGCGATGACACTGGGCCCACCTGGATAACCAAGGCTCCTCTCCCCCTCTCTACAGCCTTGACTTCATCACACCTGCAAAGTCCCTTTCGCCAGGTATGGTAGCATATTCACAGGTCCTGGGGGGTAGGATGGGGACATCTCTGGGGCCTATTGTCTGCCTATCACAGCGGTAATGTTTCCATTGGCTTCCACCAAGTCTGCTTTTCCCAATCCTGCCCCCCGCCCCCCACACACCTCCTGTAGGGCAGTAGGCTTTCTTAAAAACATCTCAGTCTGGGGGAGCCTGGGTGGCTCAGTTGGTTGTGCATTGGACTCTTGATTTTGGCTCAGGTCACGATCTCAGGGTTCTGGGATCAAGCCCCGTGTGTGTCTGGCTCTGCGCTCAGCAGGGAGTCTGCTTGAGGATTCTCTCTCTCCCTCTCCCCAACCCCCACGCTCAGTCTCCCTCTCTTTAAAAAAAAAACAAACAACATCTCAGTCTCATCTGACTTCTCAGTCACATTTTGTTACTGCAACATTCTTATTCCAGTCCTTAAGCCATAGTCTGATCCATTTTATTTTTTAAAAAATATTTATTTGAGGGTGGTGGGGAGAGAGCAGAGGGCGAGAGAATCTCAAGCAGACTCTCAGTCTCACAACCCTGAGATCATGACCCGAGCCAAAACTAAGAGTTGGACCCTTATCCGACTTCGCCACCCAGGCACCCCTAGTCTGGTCCATTTTAAATGTCAATCTTATATTTGATTAAAAATGTCCCTCCCCTACCAGTGTCAGCTGGACAGAGTGGAGAGGATGTGTGCACTGGTCTGGTCTCTGCATCCACTCCCTCAGGAGTGGGAAGAGGTGGAGAGAACAGGTATCAGGTATCTCCTCCCCTAACTGCCCACCCCAAAGCTGCAACCCTCTTGCCGTTGGCTTTAACAATTGCTCCTGCCTGTAGTTACCAGCTTAGTGCAGACAGGTGGTGGCCTCAACAGGCCCTAAGAGGGCAAGGCTCAAACCACGTCCCTGGCCTGATCTTCTAGCAGACCCCTGCTGGAGGCATCTGTCATCATCCTTCCCGTGTGCTGCCTCCTTGCCCTGCCCTGCCGTGGGCCTGGGACAGCCCACACCTGCCAACCTTACCGGTGCCCTGGAGACTGGGACCACCAGCAGGGACCTATTTCCATACTTTTGAGGAATCAGGATCCTAAGAGAGCAGGTTAGCAAGTAGGGAGAATTTAGTGATGTTCTCAGTATTTCTGTCCACAGAATGCCTCTACTGCTCAGTCTTCTCAGTTGGACAGGAAAAGGTCTCAATTTTGTCACATCTGGCACATAGTAGGTGCTTTATAGCTCTACTGAATAAATTAGTAAGTCAATATGGAGTGTAATAAGATAAGGGTGCCCACCGTCACTGCTTCTATTCAACAGTGTACAGAAGAGCCCAGCTAATTCGGTGAGACAAGAAAGGAAGCGAGAAGGACCAAGACTGAAAAGAGAAAATCTCTCATCTGCGATCTATGTGATTATCTGCCTAGAAGATCCAAGAGACTCAAAGGGTCATGTTGGATGCCTGCCATGTGGTAGGCAGGCCCTTTCCAGACACTTAATAGAAGATGAAGGAGCAGCTCCGTCCTCAGAGAGCTCCCCTGTGAGTTGGGGAGGCAAGGCTCGGGCATGTTTCTCTATGGTCCAGAGAGTCTAAGGCTGGTCATTTAGGATGGGAAAAATTACTTTATTTTCATTAACTGAAACTGAGCATTTCCTTCCATGATGAATGCAGGTAACAGCCCATATAAGCAGGACCCACGGCTTTGTCATCAGTCGAGATCACAGATGTCTTCAAATCACAAGACAGTTATTGCAGATACCTTAAAATATAGCTTATACTCACCCCTGCTTCAAAATTACTGTAGTTATTAAACCAGCTGTTAGTTCTCATATATTTATGACAATTTAAAAAATAATTCAACAACGGCATTTCAAGATAATGGGTCTTTTGTAATGCAAGGCATTCTATATTATACATTTAAAAACATTCCCCCCGAGAAGAGGACCCATGTTACAAAAAAGGAGTAGAAACTCCCGCTTTAGAGGAAGGGCTTGTTCTCTGGTTTGAGAAATGCCAACGCAGTCCTCTTGCACAAGGGATTTCCTGCCCCACTGCACCTTTCTTATCAAGCAGTAAGCCCAGCTTGCTCAAGGACGAGTCTGTCACTGTCCCAGGAGCTTTTTGGTGTCTGCCTTTTGATGTTCATGGAGCATTCTGAGGAAGGTCAGAGCACAGCCCTTGGATCTGGTCTGCTTGTGCCCCAGGGGAGCGGGCACTGGGCCAGGGCATGGGCTCATTCTGGCTTGACCCAGTGGAAGAGAGGGGGCTGCCTCTGCTGGTTTTGGTTCCTCCAAGCCAGTGTTTTCAGCTGCTACAGTTGACTGCTTCCCTTTCTAGGGCGATGTGAGGTCCTGGCTTGAGGAGAATGCGAGGAAACAGAAAGAAGTCCATGAGATTTCAGCTGGGGCCCTCTTTGGATTTTCCAGAGTTACATCTGCCGTCTGGGTCCAGAGGCTGCTTCGCCAGCAGATGTGATTAATCTAGAGGAGGTGACAGCCACACAAGGCTGGCATACCTGTATGTGATCATGTAGCTACATTAGAGGTCATGGCTAACTCTGACCCCCTTCTCTGATACTTGGTTCAAGCTTCTGCTTCATACATAGTTCAGAATCACGTGGAGGAGTAGAAAGAACAGAAGAGTTGGCACCAAAGAGACCTGGGTTTAAATCCTGCCTCCATCCCTTCCCTTGCTAGGTGGGTGATCTTTCATTAATTGAGCAAATAGCGTCTGAGTGCCAACTATATGCTGGGCACTGAGAACACAGAGGTGAATGAGACAGACAGAGCCCACCTCCTCTCATGGAACTTACTCTCTGTAGGGAGGCACACAAAGACCCAATGGTGGTATTATGAAAGAAATAACCAGGGGGTTATGGCAGAGAATTAACAGTGGTGGGGAGAGAGGAGGTCCCACTGAGGTAGGATGGTTGGGGAAGGCCTCTCTGTGGCATTTAAATTAACACTCAAAACTGAGGTAGAGCCAATCATGAAGGGAGGGGAAAGCCTTCTAAGCAGTGGGAACAGTATGTGCAAAGGGCCCGAGGTGGGAAAGAGCCTGGCTTGGTGAGAAACCAAAAGGAGGCCAGAATTATCCCAACATGGTAGGAGGGGCAGAGAGTGGTGAGAAGTAGGTCAGAGAGGAGAGCAGGGGCCAACAGGAAGCACTGGAGTTCAGGTGAAGTGCAAGAAGCCATGGGAATTTTAAGCAGGGGAGGGACACAGTTTGATTTTTAAATTATTGTGGTAAAATACACATAACATAACCATTATAAAGTACACAGTCAGTGGCATTCGGTACATTCACAATGTTGGACAGCGCTCACCACTACTCAGTTCCAGAACTTTTCTGTCATCTCAGAAGGACATCTGGTGCCCATTAAAGAGTTGGTCTCCATCCCCACTCCCCTCCAGCCCAAAGGTCCCACTGACCTGCTTTCTGTCTCTATGGATTTGTCTGTTCTGGACATTTCTATATACAGAGTCATACAGTATGTGGCCTTTTGCGACTGGCTTCTTTCACTCAGCATGTTTTTGAGGTTCCTTCATGTTGTGGCATGGATCAGTACTTCATTCCTGTTATGGCTGAATATTCCGTTGTGTGGTGGTGCCATAGTTTGCTTATTCTTTCATCCATTGATACAGTTCGCTTTTCCTGAGGTAATTCTGGTGGCTGGTTCGGGAGTAGATCTCGGGGAAGGCAGAAGTGGGAGTGCAGGCCAGATAATGGCTGGGACTAGTGTGCTGGGAGGAGGAACGGAAAAATGGGCACAGATTCGGGAGGTAAAACAGATACCGGATATGGGACTGACCGGGACCACGTGTGGACTGGACGTGGAGGGGGAGGCGCCTGAGTGTGCAACGCCCGAGTGTTTGCTGGGACGGAAAAGTCTGGGAGGGGACATCCCAGCTGTTTGTGATCACATTTGAACTGTCGAAGTGGAGGCGTCATGTGGACAGTAGGATTTGAGTCTGGAACTTGGCAGAGGGGTTTGGGGTGTGATGTTGTGATAGAAGAAATAGATATTTTGGTCTTCGTCCATGGCTCCTGACCAGAGCGCCTAAAACCCTTGTAATTTCCTAAGTGGTAAGAGTACTAGGAGCAACTTATAGTTGTTTTTTGTCCCCAGCTCCTGAAAAGCCTCCAGAGTGATAAAGATGAAAGGAGCATCTGTTGTTATTCATAACAAACCCCTTTCCAACACACCTGAGTGTATGTGAATGAGGTGACTTTTGGAAAGCCCCCCAAGAATGGGGGGCTGGCTGCCAGGGGCTGGAACTTTCAGTCCCATCTCTACCCTGCCTTCCTCCCACCCCCGCCCAGCCTCTGGGGGAGGGGAGAGGGGCTGGAGGCTGCATGAGTCACCAGTGGCCAGGGATTGAATCAACTGTGCGTGCACAGTGGAGTCTCCAGTCAAAACTCTAAGTGGAAGAGTTGAGTTTCCTGACAGGCGAACAGGTGGAGGTGCTGGGAAGATGATATGCTTGGAGAGGGCCTGGAAGCTCTGCACACCACCCCCTAATACCTTGCCCTGTGCATCACTTCCATCTGTCTGTGTGTTGGGTCCTAGAATAAATCCTTAATTACAAGTAAACCGTTTTCCTGAGTTCTGTGAGCCATCCTAGCAAGTTATCGAACCCGAGGAGGGGTCATGGGAACCTCTGATTTATAAGAGGCCCAGGTGAAAACCTGGACTTTCAAATGGTGTCTGAAGTGGTGGGGGGTGGGGTTGCAGGATCTTGTGGGACAGCACTTAACCTGTGGGGTCTGCACTAACTCCAGGCAGTTAGTGTTGGAACTCCTGGGTGTGGAAAACCCACACGTTTGTTCAAACAAAAGTATGGAACGTGGAGAAACACATGGGGTTTTTCTTTGAGGTGGTCATCAGCACAGAGCTGGTGCTGAAAACCCGGAGCCAGGCTGACCCCGGGGTGTGGACAAAGGGCCCAGTGCTGAGCTAGAGGTTGAGCAGGTGAGGAGGAGCCTGCAGAGGGACCACAAAGGGTAACCGGAGGAAGAAGGAAAAGCCAAAGGCGTGTGGGTCCTGGAGGCCAGGAGGCCAGTGGTCCAGGAAGACAGAAGTGTGAGCGTGTCAGAAGCTGAGGAGAGTGGGCCGACAGGGAGGGACAGTGCAGAGAAGGAGGGACATGGAGAAGAGACACAGGAACCACCGGGAACAGTGGCTGCTCACGAAAGGGAGCCGAGAGAGGGGACAACAGTGGGAGGTCTGGCAGGGCCCACACAGAGCCCCTAGCCTAGATGGTCCCTAGAATAGAAGAATGTCGGGCTAAGGTGTGCTGAGCATCTTGTCCCCACTCCATGGAGAAGACAGAGTCTCTGAAGGTTAAGTACAAGGCCATGCAGCTGGTGAGCAGCCGAGCTGGATCAGGAAGCCTGCTCCATGGCGGGGCTCTCGATGGACTCCTTATCTGCCTGCCCAGGAGCAGGGGTGCTAATGTTTGTGAGCCAAGTTCTCCAGGCTTCTGGAATCTTCCCTGCCTGTTGACGAGGGTGAGGCTTAACGTTGGAAAGACGAAGGCACAGGACCCTGGAAGTATATTCTGACGCTCACGCTGGTGAGCAGAACCTCAAACTAAAGGATTGAGCAGCACTGCCTTGTCCCACCTGCTGGTTACTCATGGAAAATACTCAACAATGTGGTTCAGCCTTCCTGGCCAGTTGGAGCAGGTTCGACCAGATGGGTCCCACATTGGCACAGAGGGAGACCTGGGATTGACCCCCAACTTCTTTCCACTCAGGAGGTTAGTCCAAACCCATTTTGGTGATTCCATCTGTCCTTGCCATTATGTTTCCAGAAAGGGCGTGTGGCGCAGTGCTCTGGCCAGTGAGACCTGGGGGAATGTGTGCTGGGGCCTCTGGGAATTGTCCTCTTTCCAGGAGGGGCCTTCCTCTCTTCCTCCTCCTCAGGTCTGGAGCTCCTGCTCGCAGCTGGAGGGCGGAGCCCAGGCTGGAAAGTACCTGGGCCCCAGGGATGCTGCCGCTGACCATCCACCCATCCACTCACCCCGAGCAGCCACGTGCAGACGTCCGTTTTTGAGAGGCGATACAGTGTACTCGTGTTTGGGTCAGGGTCTTTGTTCCTCACTTCCAGGAGCATCCAGACCCCGTCCATACTTGGGACGTTTACTGCTCAGTGGCCATTTCACTTTCCGTTTGGGGACTGAACTTAGTCCTGTTGGGTCCGGTCCGGTGGAAGTGTTCACCAAGGTGTCCCCTCTTTTGAGAGGTGGGCATGTGGCCCAAACGGGGCCTAGGGGGAGAGACGCGGGGAGACCTCAAACAGTTGGCATCTGCTCCCATCAGGGTGGGATCTGCAGTGCAGCCGCTCTGTGGCTGCGGGTGCCTGTCTGTGCCAAGCCTGGGTCTCGGCCTCCCCTGCCAGCCTGTGGGAGCCTCGCGGTCTGCCAATAATCAGCCGGAGCTGGTTTCTGTCGTTGGCATCCAAGGAACCAGGCCAGAGCTGAGGGAGAGAGAGAGAGAAGACAAAGCCCCTGGCGTGAAGGTGCCCGCCCCAAGGCGGGAGGCAGATGGCCAACAACCCGCTCATGTACGTGAGCACAACGAAGTGGACGGTTAGAATAACTGGGAGGACAGAACAGCCACCCGCTCGAGGGAGTGCCTACTGTGCATCGGGCCCCCTGCCGGGCCTCTTAACCACATCCTCTCATTTAATCTCCACAACAACCCCTGGGAGGCAAGGACTCTGAGTTCGGGTGACGTTCTGCTGTAAGAGAGTGCCCCAAATTATCATGGCTCAAACAAACCAGAAGTTACTTCTCATGCCAAAGGCTGGAGGCCTGACTTGCGGGGCAGGTACGGTGGCTCTGTTCTATTGAGTGGCTTGGGGTCACCGCTCTGCCACTCCCAGGGCCTTCCCTCCGGGTCAAAGGTGGCAGTGTGTGCATCTCAGGCAGCAGGACTGAGGGTGTGCGCCAGCAAGAGACGACAGATGCATGCCAGCCATCCCTTCAGACAGCCTCTGACACTGCGGCTCCCATCCCATGGGGAGCCCTTAGTCCTGGGACACCCAGCTGCCAGGGACCACGAGAAACGTACCTTTTATTTAGGGCATCGTGTGCCCCACAGAAAAAGTCTCTGATGGTTGAGGAAGTGCAGAGAGCGCTTCAGGAAACGGCCAGGTACCAGACAGATGAGAGAAACAGAGCTCAGAGAAGGAAGTCCCTTGTCCAAGGACACCCAGCTAGGAAGGGGCAGGGCAGGACTTGAGCCCACCCTGCCTCTGGGAGCTACAGTTACAGGCACGCAGAGGGCAAAGCCACAGGGCAGCTGAGGGAGGAGGCTTCTCGGGGACAGCGATCGTGAAGCTGGGTGTCCTGGGTTAGGAAAAGGAGGAAGAAGGACATTCTGGGAGCCGAGGTTGGAAGGCTTGAGAACTGTTTGGAAGAAAACTTCCTTTCTCGGGGCAGCACCTTACAAAGTGCTCTCTGGCCACAGCCTGACCATCCCTGGCCATTGGGCGCTCACGCCTGCGAGAGCTGTTTGTAGGGATATTTATCATCGGAGCTCCCCTTTGGAGTGTGGTGGCCATCTTCAGTTTCTTCCTGCTCGGCACCTGTCCCCCCTCTTCTGGTGACGTCAGCTGTCCCCTAATTTCAACCCAAGCGGTTCGAGAGTGGCTGACCCAACCAGGCCAGTGGGGCTCCATGGGAGGCTCTGGCTGGGCCCCTTTGCTGACAATTCCTCCGCTGGGACTGCCATTTGCAAGGATGGGTGAGCCTGGGCCTGGGGGGCAGCATGTGGAGAAGGCTTGCCTGGGGGTCAGGCCAACGCAGACAGGAGCAGAGCTAGCCTGCACATGTGAGTTGCACAGGCCAATAAATTCCCTTTCTGCTGCAGCCAGTTTGATTGGTGTTCCTGTCGCTGCCCCCAGAAGAGTAACTAACAGAGGCAGGGATGTCAGGCCTCTTTTTACCACCACCTGGGCAGTGGTGGTGGTGATGGGGTGCTGGGGGAGTATCGGTGTGTTTTATTATAATAGGGCCTGGAGCAGGGTCTCTACAAGTGTGGTCCGAGGACCCCAGTGTCTGCATCACTCTGGGACTGAACTCGATGAAACCACACATTCCTGGGCCCCAACTTCCAAATCAGAATCTCTGGAGGCGAGGCCGGAACGCTGTATTTCTGTCAAGCACTGCAGGGGAGTCCCAAACCTAATTCCGAGTGAGACTCAGGCCCCAGCAAATGGCACAACATGACTCCCTCAGGGTGGAAGCCTTTTGTTTTGTGCGTGCGGGAGAGCACTGCAGGGGAGTCCCAAACCTAATTCCGAGTGAGACTCAGGCCCCAGCAAATGGCACAACATGACTCCCTCAGGGTGGAAGCCTTTTGTTTTGTGCGTGCGGGAGAGCACTGCAGGGGAGTCCCATGGCACCCAGTCTGAGAACCAATGGCTGAA